GCCAGCTAATGGATTGCATGGACCTTTAATTTTGAACTTAAAAAGCAGGAAGATGAAATTATATTTTTAAAAAGGCTTATGAGAAACTGTAATGGTTAAATGGATATGGTAAAGTGCCATCTTATATTCATGGTGGTAAAACTGTTACACCACGGAATGTTTAGACATGACTTTTTTATTATCATTCAGGTAATTTCAGCCTTTTCCAAGCTTATACTTCATAACTCTATCTGAAGAAAATTGGCTGAAATTCCTTACAAAATTAAATTAGTAATAAAAAAAAAGAGCTGGTGAATACTTTGGAATCAAACTTATCCAATTTTCATATCTTTTTCAATCAATGATTTTGTATCTATTGTTATATGACAGCTAATACTGATATAATGCATGTATTATTTATGTATTCTAGAGGGAATAATTAAGGAAATCATTAAACAGGTCCAGTTATTCCACCATGTGAAAATTGCAATTCATTGTAGTGGTAAAAAAAAATCTGAATTTTCTATATATCAATAAGATATTTTTTGTCATATTCGCAGCAAATATTAGTTGTATCATGTAGAGTTCCTTTTTTATAATGCTTCAGCTACTTTTAAAGTTAACAATTTTTTAAATCACTCCATACATATATAACAGCATTATCATAGTTTTATTACAATCAAAACTGGGGTCTTGGTGGATGCTTGGTCTTCCTGTAAGAGATAAAAGTATCTCTAAATTATCTAAAATTGCCATAGGTGATCTGAATATAATACAGTAGATATGAATCTGCAGGAAATGCCATGGATATAATATAAATAGTTTACAGATGCTAGTAATTTATCTGCAATTACTGTGGAAGAATTATAAATGCATTCATTACATTTTTATAGAGATTTAACAAAAAATGGAATCTTTACAAATACCCTATATTGATTATATATGCTAGGGCAGGGTTATATATAATATACTACATATGCTGTGGAAGAGTTACGTATTCAATACACAGATAGCATATTCTCTGGAATGGTTATCCAAGTAAAAAAAAATTACATATGCTACCGATAGTTTACTAGGGTTTGTGCTGTGAGTGATTTATGGATATCATAAAGCAAAAGTTGCATCCGCAAAATGGGTTGCATGTGCTTCTGATGGTTTGTAAATTTTAAAAATACTGTACAATAGACTATCAGAAAATAAACTTGATGGTAAGCCTATACAAGAATGTTGAAAGAAAGGAATAAAAATACATAGAAAATATATGTTTTTCTTTTCTTTTCCTTTTAAGTAATATTAATTGTTTAATGTTCTATATGAATACAGACTATGGTAAATCCAGTATATTTCATATGTATAAACACCTATAAATGCCTTTATACCATAAGTCTGTATTTTTAATGCCTGTACATAAATAAACAGAGGTTGGTCTTATATCCTAAATCTACATACTGCCTCTAACTATTAATTTACAGATAAAATAATCAAACTATGCAGAATTATTTGATTTGCTTTACTTTTCCTCATTCTTTTTATATAAAAATACAAATCACAAAAATAATAATAGCCAGACCATGCTAATGAATGTTAATATTTCCTACATTGAAAGTTTTCAACCATATAAAAAAAAATTCATCTCTAAAATTACACAATGAAGGTATGCAGGGATATAGGAGACATTTCTGAACTGGGACACCTCAATTATTTCCAATCCTCCCTCCTGTAACAGCATATCAGATTAACAGAACCGATGAAAAACAATAATGTACACTACTTTGATTACATTGTCACTGCATATATTCATGTTAAAAATAAGAAGACAATATCAATTTGTCAGCAAGGTTAATAGAACACTATTCAGGTTAATGCTGATCATTTGAAGTAACATAAAAGACACTTGACTATATTCACAACGGCATACAATATAGACATAGGGAAAATATTTAGCTGTTTGTTTTCTTCAAATATGAAAAGTAGGTTTTATATTATTGAATTTTCCAAAACACATATCAGTATCATATTTGAAGATATACAAGTATAGTATGAATCCATTGTTAGCAGAATCTGTGGACTGTGGAAATGTTGAAAATTGGATAACTGGTTAAATTTGATACTAGATGAACCACCAACAAGAGGTAATGAGAAAGCTAATGAGTTCTTACTAGAACTGGGGTGGGCAAACTTTTTAGCTCAGGGGCCATATTGACTTTTAAAATTTAACAGACAGGCCAAGCCAGCTCTAATGCATATATATATATAACCTTATATTTCTTATCCATCATTTTTATCATTCCCATTTTCAGACATAAGTAAAAGTAAAAACCAGACAGAAAAACATATTCCATTTAATTGTCTAGGTTACTCCTCATAATTATGATACAATTTGATTTGGATAATTCTGAACCAATCTTTTGCTGGCCAGATGTGGCCTGTGGGCCGTATCTTGCCCACCAGTGCTAGAACATATATCAAGGAACCAAGTAACTATCATTAAAAGGACTAATCAATGAAAAATTAATACACTGATACAATATAATACATGCAAGTACATTATATTTACATATGGTGCATAAAAATATAATGCAATAGCTTATAATAGGTCATGTATAAAGCAATATAAGCATAATACAATATATGATGACATAATTATGCTTACATTCTCAAATTTGGATGTGAATACTGATGATTAATCTGATAGAGGGATAACATTTCTTGGTTGAATACCATGTAATAATGCAAAAAGAGTATTGCCAAAAAGTTTAGTTTGCTAAGTGTCAGGTATTTATACATTTATTCACTGAATAGATCATACTACATGTTCTCTATATCTTTTTTGAATTAAGACCTTGTTTTGTTTTGTTTGTTACCTTATAACATAGTACACTTAGTAGTGTTCATAGTTTTTACATATATAGGTTGTTTTACGTCATTGTCAGGTAAATATATATTCATTCATTAAATGGGTCACTGGAATCTAGTGCCCTCCAGACTTTTTTCCCTGAGACCTTTTGATTTCATGTATTACCATTACACCTCTACTGTATACCCAGCGGTAACCATACCCTTTTACATCTGGCATGAAAAATATAAGATTTCTTTAACAATACATAATCCAAATGTTCTATGTGATAGACATCATTCACTTATCTATTTTATAAATATTTTATTTCATTACGAGACATGGCAACTTCCTAACCTCTAGTTTGTAATGAATACTTTCAAGTACTATTCCTCATTTCTGTGTACCTCTATGCAAAACTAAAATATATTTATATATTCATGAAAATCAGTATTGGTATCCCTTCATAAAATGTTTATCTAGCATAGTATTACACACTTTATAAATTTCAAATGCAGGCTAAAATATGATCTACAAAATAGACTGACCGACAGGGTTATGGAATAAAAACATGAATAGTGCCAACCCTATTGTATATAAAATTCAGACATTAAATCATACAGACATTTTTTAATATTTCATCAATTCTATAATTGCCATTATTTCTTCATTTTTAGTGACTTCTATTATAGTACTAATTGTGGGATATCTTTTAAATAATCAGCTATAACCCCCTTGACAGTGGAAGAAATTTCATAAATATATTCAATGAGTGCCTCAACTATCTGCCATCAGAACTTTTACCCTTATAATTTTCAATGTAATTTACAGGCAGAACAAATGACAAAATATTTTTTTGAGTCAATAAAATAACTTGCTCCTGCTGCACAGGTGGACATTTAACTACTACATCGACGGAGATTTACTGTACCATAAGATTTAAATATCCCTGCTAAAGTGCTCGAGGAGTGCTTTAGAGATGTGTGATGGGGTAATGCTGAAAATGTTGAGGTAATATTGACAAGTGATGTTACAAGAGATGACATAAAATTATATTTCAAGACATTTCATAATAAAGTTCAAAGAAACAAATATTTTCATAGAAGGCATTACTACATAATCTGATTTTTGAAAAATATAACTTACATTTGTTTCACATATTTTACACATCCCTCACTCAAGAGGTGACCTATATGCTGTTCATAAAAGTATTGCAAAATAACTAATTAAAAAAGCAGAGAAATGAAATATACTAGTAAAGCCAGAAAAATGTCAAATCATTCTTATTTACCAAATCTCTCTCTCTCTCTCTTTTTCCTTCCCCCCCTCTCTCCTCTCTCCTCTCTCCCTCTCTCTCTCTCTCTCTCTCTCTCTCTCTCTCTCTCTCTCTCTCTCTCTCTCTCTCTCTCCTCTCTCCTCTCTCTCTCTCTCTCTCTCTCTCTCTCTCTCTCTCTCTCTCTCTCTCTCTCTCTCTCTCTCTCTCTCTCTCTCTCTCTCTCCTCTCTCTCTCTCCTCTCTCTCTCTCTCTCTCTCTCTCTCTCTCTCTCTCTCTCTCTCTCCTCTCTCTCTCTCTCTCTCTCTCTCTCTCTCTCTCTCTCTCCTCTCTCTCCTCTCTCTCTCTCTCTCTCTCTCTCTCTCTCTCTCTCTCTCTCTCTCTCTCTCTCTCTCTCTCTCTCTCTCTCTCTCTCTCTCTCTCTCTCTTCTCTCTCTCTCTCTCTCTCTCTCTCTCTCTCTCTCTCTCTCTCTCTCTCTCTCTCCTCTCTCTCCTCTCTCTCTCTCTCTCCTCTCTCTCTCTCTCTCTCTTCTCTCTCTCTCTCTCTCTCTCTCTCTCTCTCTCCTCTCTCTCTCTCTCTCTCCTCTCTCTCTCTCTCTCCTCTCTCTCTCTCTCTCTCTCTCTCTCTCTCTCTCTCTCTCTCTCTCTCTCTCTCTCTCTCTCTCTCTCTCTCTCTCTCTCTCTCTCTCTCTCTCTATATATATATATATATATATATATATATATATACATACATGCATACACATAAAATCTTTAAGTTGCCTTCTTGATTTATTAGGTGTTTCTCTCTGTGCTGTAAAAAGGTGCTGCTGTAAAAAGTATGGAAGATTGTCAATACACTGATACTACAACAAGAATGCTTTAGGATCATTGAAACACACAAGTACCTGATGTATTTATTAAGAAACTAATGCACATATATCCTATAGAAAACACTGACAAAAATAAAGCATTGCTAAGAAGCTTGAGAAAATTGAAAGTAAACTGCTAACAATGTGCGAAATAATTTTTTTTTTCATGCTATTAGAAAGTTAGTTAATGGACACACTAAATAGAAATAAACTCAAGCTACAACTTTGAAGCAAATCAGAAGACTAAATACAATGTGGAATAGTGTGGAAATGAAATCAATTTCCATTGATAGCTCATGCATTCATAATTTGAGAGCCAAAAGAGAAAGAGAAAAGTGACCATCTCTTGCACCAGTCCCTAGGATGAACAGAATGCAAAGTTGATACCAAATAAATTACATTTTGATTTTGACACTGTGACAACATATGCACCATCTGTATAACTTTATCTTAACTAGATCCCCAACTTAACTTGCCCATTTGCCCATCAGTCTTGAATCTAGCTGCTTTTGGGAAAACATTTTTTTTGAAAGTGTCTGTGCCATGTAAACCACACGTCTGCTACACTAGTATGGATGGAGCCGTAAAATACCTATCAATGTACATCTTCATTCCTTTTAATACAATCTTAACAAATCTAAGAATGATTACTTCTCCTACTCTTATCTTTTTCCCTGATTACACTCCATAGTGGTTGAAGCTATCAAACAAGATTTCCTTATTAACAAAAATCTCAAAATCAAAAGCAGTGCCACATGGAGTAGTTAGTAAAAGGCATTTCAGTCAATCTGGATTAACCACATGCTGTCTCATGGATCATCCAAATGGTATCTTGGACTCATCTATACTTACTTTTCCTGACCTTGGTGGATGAAGGAACAACATTCTCTCGGGTTATGCTTGGGAAGTTTTGGATGTCTTCTAGAGTTTCTGGAGGAAAATTGGTGGGGTCTGAAAAAAAAATAAGGTTTTCTTGTGAGCAGGAGAAGAGGGGATAGATGTCTGAGGAGTATAGGAAAAGGAGGGTGTTGGGGAGAATGTGGTATGAGAAGAGGGAGTGGGATGTTTAAGATGCCTGGTTCATTATTAATGATTAAAACAAATAAATGTGCTTGACATCAAAGGGCATATGGCACTATGGTAAAGTATTATGGCAAAAAGGGTAAAAATGAGTTAAAAATCATGATGAAATGTGTTAGGTGTCAAAGGTTATATAGCATTAGAGGATAGTATGGTCATGAAAAGGGTACAGAGGGGGAGCAAATGAAGTATAGCAGAGATGAGTAAAAGAGGAAAGGGTTACGGGTGTAGGCTGATTGGATGATATGGAGTGTACCTGTAATTGGGGAAACAATAAGAATCCTGTGATTGAGATAAAGGGACTAGGGAGGGTGGTGAAGTATCAGAAAGAATGTCAGGAGGAGAGGGGTCTGGAGAAGGATACTGTTGCAAAAGAGGGTTAATGGTTGAAATAAATAAATGTGTAAGACATCTACAGTCATATAGCACTATCGTAAAGTATTGTGGCAAAAAGGGTAAAAATTAGTAAATGATTAGGATAAAGTGTGTTAAATGTCAAAGGTCATTGAGTATTCTAAGATAATATGATAGGGAAAAGGGTAAAAAGGGGTACAAATGAAGGTAAATCAGAGATAAATAAGGAAAGGGTTAAGGGCAAAGGGCAAATTGATGAAATGGAGTGTATCTGTGGCTGGGGAATCTATAGGAATATTAATTAAAGAAAACTGACAAAAGAGTTATTATGAAATAATCTATGGGTAACACAGATAGAGTCGGCTGTTGGAGAAATAGTATGAGATAAGGGGACTGGGGAAGGTGTTGAAGTATCAGGAAGAGAGTGTCCGGAAGGGAGGGATCCTGAGAAGGACACTGTTATGACAGAAGGGATTCACATGAGTTTCCAGGTGGGAGTGGTAAGGATAATGGGGAATGAAGAGGGAATGGTGCACATGGAGAAGAGGATGGGTTGTGTTGGGAGAGTGTGGGAGGAAGAGGGGTAGGTGGAACTTGAGGTGGAGGAGGAATGTACACAGAAAAGGAATAGAGGGATTGGAGGATTGATGAGGGAGCGGAGCATTCTCTTGGATCATTTTTATGAAGTTTTGGATGTCTTCAAGGGTTTCTGGATGGGAGTTGGGTGGGGAGGTCTGTGAAACAAAGATTCTCTTGCGAGGAGGAGAGGGGATAGATATCCAAGGATCCAAGGAGCAGAGGAAGAGAAGGGTGTAGGAGAGGATGTTGTAGGAGAAGACAGAGTGGAACGATTAGGCTGCCTGGTCCGACAGGTAAAGTGAGGAAGAGGAAGGGTAGGCATCAAGGAAGTGGTAGACTTCCACTGGCCTCTGGGAGGTGTAGCACTGTACTGCTACTGAATCGAAGTAAACAAGGCAGGCAAATAGGTCTTTACAGTCTTATCAGTTCTTGTCATTGAGGGGAAAATCAGTCAGGGAGATAAAAATAGTTCCAGGACAAGTATTAAGAGAGGAGTGAGGTTTGGCAGGAATAGGTTTGCCAGTGAAGTAATTTAGGGTAGATAATGCACAAGCTTGGGATTCAGATGTAACTAGAGTTGCCAACTCACTGAAACAAAAATACGGGAAAGGGGCCAGGTGCCACACTTCAACCCAACATTCATCTAACCCCCTTAGAAAACTCACAATTGATAAATTATCTATATAAAAATATTTGGTTCTAAAAATTTATTCAAAAACTAACCCAGTATATACTATATTAGTTATGTTAGTTTAAATATGACTTTTCAAAATGAATATCTTTTCATAAGGAGTTTAGTTTTACTAAGCCTAAACACTAAGAAATTACCTATTTACGAGAACTATCTCATCGTTTTGTTGAAATTCAGTAGACTCCAAAATTTCCTGCACTTTTTTGCAAGAGTACTACTTCAGATTTGAGCTTTCATTGTAATACAATTTGCTTTTATTGATTGTCAAAAATATGGAACAAAGTGTGTCCCATATCAGTCCACTAAGAGAGGTCATTTTGTTTCCAAATACAGAACAATGGTTGGCAACCCTTGATTTAACTGTGACAAGGCATGTATGATCTGAACGACTGTGAAAGCAACTTTGCCTGCTTGGTTTAAGAGACATTGCTGGAAGAGAGGGGTAGAGTCAGAATAAGGGGCTGTGGGGGAATCACAAAAAATCAATCCCACTTGACTTGTCCCAAAAAAGTTTGCTGAAGTGGAAGCAGTAGAAGGATGAGGGCGGTAGGAAGATGGAGTGGTATAGAGTGAAGTAGTACTGTGGGGAGGGAGGGAGGACAATAAGGATGCAGGGTAGTAATTAGGACGGGGAGGGGGCAGTCAATGAAAAAGACTTACACCCAAAGAAATGCCATGTTATGTCACATGTCTCATTAGTTGCTTGTATCATGTCCACACAAAAAAATCACCTATGTAACCTTTAAAGTAATTACTTGGTCAAAATGAACACCTAATGTATCTGCTAAAGGCTTTGGAGAAAAAAAGAGGATCATGCAAGAAATACTGCTGTCTGTTCCTGTCGGGCCCCAATACTCGCTCTTCTTGCATGTCTTCACCATCATCACTGCTGCAATCTGTTTCTGGTGTTAGTGATGCTCCTGTAGTTGACAAGAGGCCTCTATTCCTCCTCCTCATCACTGTCGCCCAAATCACTGAAGTCAAAGTCACTCTCTGGTGAGGCCCTCCATCTGTAAAGATATCACATGTGAAAATTTCACCCGTCATTTAATTGCAGAGTTTGGTTCTTTCTGATAAAAAGGACAAACAAACCCCCAAAAAACAATGCAGATAAGCCTGAACATTATGCTGTACAAAGCTCTCCAATTTCCATAGTTTTATTTTTGATAAAATATGAGTTTTATTTAGAAAATGTTCATAGGCACCCTACATAGCAATTGACCATGAAATTGACTTTCAATCTACAAACAATAAAAGATTTACGATCACGTCGGCTGAAAAGCATGTCGTGGAAATCTCAAGAGCAGGTATCAGGATAATGCAGTACCACCAGCCAATTGGCACTTCCTGACACTTATCTCATGAATAAACACTTATTAACTCTGATTTCCACACAAGGTAATTTTCTATATTATCTTCGCCTCTCCGATATCGACGATTTTGGTATCGTTGGATTCCCCTCACTCTGTACAATCCGAATATGTAGGTTTTATTGCGCGGAAACCCCCCCCTTAGCGAAAGACTTGGCCCCGATAACAGGGGAGGGCATGGAAGGTTCCAGGGAAAATGCGGGGTTAAATAACACTAATAATATAACCCACAGTGAAAATAACCATGGTTATTCACATGACTTTCCATTGCAGGGGGTTGTGCCTCCTGCGACCCCCCCCCTGGGGAGGGGCTGCTGCCCCCCAACCCCCGCCGAGGAAACAAAACCTCCATTGTGTAACGCTCTAGCCTGCCTCCCGGCAGGCTAGAGCGTCACACAGTTATCGGCGATCTCGGATTACATTTACCTCGTAAAATTCCCACTGAATCAGCATGCTCACCTTGACATAGTCATTGTATACAGATACGATTGTTGTATAATCAGGATGAACAAGTTATACCATGAACAGAAGAGCGGCGGTGACCCGCCCTCGTCGGGTCGGCGGGTTTTGCGCCTTTTTCGATGCATCTAGTTCGTGTGCTCTCTATCCTGCCGTGAATACGTGGGGGATATTTTGTATCCTCGGCGGGGGTTGGGGGGGGGGGGGTCGCAGTGGGCACAGCTCCCTGCAATGTAAAGATGTGAATAACCATGGTTATTTTCATTGTGAGTTATATTATTAGTGTTATTTAACACCGCATTTTCCCTGGAACCTTCCATGCCCTCCCCTGTTATCGGGGCCAAGTCTGTCGCTAACGGGGGGTTTCCGCGCAATAAAACCTACATATTTGGATTGTACAGAGTGAGAGGAATCCAACGATACCAAAATCGTCGATATCGGATAGGCGAAGGTAATATAGCAAATTACCATTACGTAATGACAAGCTTGGATCACATAGAGGTATTGAGTTTGGTTTGAGAAATAGCGGCTGGAAATACGAATTACAGCGTCCTTGGGAAGCAGACGACCGGCTCAAGGAGTGGAAAACGTGCAAGCACCAATCAAGGTCTATATAAGTACTTATATAGACCTTGGCACCAATGTGCCCGTGAAATTTGAATTCGTTCGCCAGGGGTTGGGTGGAATTTCGTACATGCTTTCCAAATGGTCTCAATGGGATACATATATATGGATACACACACACACACACGCACACACACACATACATATATGTATGTATATGTGTGCGTGTGTGAACATATAAATACACAAACACACGCACACGTACACGCACACGCACGCACGCACGTACACATTCGCACACACACACACACACACACACACACACACACACACACACACACACACACACACACACACACACACACACACACACACACACACACACACTCATAGATAGATAGATAGATAGATAGGTAGATAGATAGATAGATATACATATATATATATATATATATATATATATATATATATATATATATATATATATATATATATATATGCATATACATAAATCATAAGCGCAGGAAGATATTTTGAAGTGGGGGGGGGGCAAACTAAGGCCCCCCCTAAAATAGGCTTGGGCACCAGCTGATTGTGGCGAGAGGAACGGGAGACCTTTTTCAAACTGCTCCACACGAGATAAGTATTCAGGAGATTTCATGTTTTTTTTTCTGGTTCTTGTGACCTACGATAATACGGGAGGGACAAGACATATCCTGTAGCTTCCTATAAATAAAGGGAGATTTTTGTTTTTATTTTTTGCATATTACATTTGTTTGTTTTACCTACCTTTTTTTTTTAGTATGAATTTACCCCTTTAATGTTTTCCTAAATATTTTGATTTCGTTGAACGTATTATGTTCTTTTCGTTTGCTTATTTTATTTTGATGTATTTCTAAGTTTTATTATTTGTTGTGGTGAAGGGCAGCTCATGATACAAGCACTCATCACAATACACACACACACACACAACACAAATACACACACGCACACATACATTTATACATCTACATTGAGATGGGCAGTATCGAGATACATATCGATCGATACTATTGTAGTTGTACCGGTATCGCCTCAGCTAAGTTTTATCGGTATCATTTGGGTATTTTTCTCAAAATGCATTGAATAAAATCAAGAAAAATCGATACATTTACATAACTCTCTCTCTCTCTTCTCTCTTCCTCTCTTCTCCCCCCCCCCCCCCCCCCCTCACTTCTGCCACCCTTCCCCTCAATTTCTCTTGCTGTCTCTTTCACACACTTATTCTCTCTCCCTTGCACACGCACATACACACATACACACACACACACACACACTCTTTCTCCATTTCCCTTTCTCTCTCTCTCTCTTTCTTATGAGTGTGTGTGTATGTTTGTGTGCGTGTTTGTGTGCGTGTGCGTGTGCGTGTGTGTGTTTGTGTGTGTGTGTGTGTGTGTGTGTGTGTGTGTGTGTGTTCACAAGGGATGCTTTAGAAGTAGATAAACAGACAATATGTCACAGCAAAAGGAAGATCGACTGTAACAAATGGAATTAAACTAAACTTTTGACATTTTAAACCCCCCCCTCTCTCTCTCTCTCTCTCTCTCTCTCTCTCTCTCTCTCTCTCTCTCTCTTCTCTCTCTCTCTCTCTCTCTCTCTCTCTCTCCCTGCCTGCTGAACCCGTGGTCAGCGACCCTCCCAGCCTTCCTCTCCTCCCCTCTCTCCTTGCCCGCAGCGAGCGAGCAGGCGTGCGCCCTTGCTGACTCGCCAGCCTCCCCGAAGACCAAGACACCGCAGGAAAAAACGAAGCATCTACCCAAGTAACGCCAAGGCGAATCTTTAAGAAAGGACAAAGCAAGAAGAAAAGCAATCAGAAGGAACTTGACCCTAATCGCCTGTGGGCTGAAGCAACTCATCACCAGATGCCAGGAGTCCCTCCTCCTTCTCCCTCCCCCCCTCCCCAGCTCCAGTAGTGCCGACGGTCATGATCAACAACCACGCAGAAAGAGCAGAACAAGTTGCTGGAGTCGAAGGTTTCGTCACAGTGACATCAAGGAAACAAAAGAAAAAAGAGAGAAAAACGGCAAGCGCGTATTCCAAATTTCAATGTTTATAGATGTGATGCAGGACGTGAAGGAGGAGTCTGCATATATGTACGTGATACTCTCAAAATAATGTGGCATCCGCTACAACTGCTAAGAGTGCAGATGTAGAGGATATCTGGGTTGGTATACTAAGCAATCTCATTCCGTCATTCATTGTAGGCGCCGTCTCTAGGCATCGTCATGATTCATCTTATTCTTTTGATTATATAGTAATTTTTTTTAGAGAGGTGTCACTGAAAAAGAAACCTCTTTTCATACTGGGGGATCTAAATGATGACCTAAACAAGACCAATTAAAA